ATAGGTGTATGTAGGAATATAAACAAGATGCCACCTTTGGATTTTTTTTAGAATGAAAGATATTTTTCAGTGGGATAGTGATGATTGACAACTAAAAGAAACTTCATATTCACTCTATTTTGGACTGAATTCCACTTTGATTAATGTTAAAAATCTGTTAAAATGATTAATGCAATACATAAAATGTGAGTTTGTATTTAATTCATTATTTATTTTTTTATAGAAAAGAGTAATATATAGAATGACAAAAAAAAAACCTTTAAGATAAAGGTTTTGTTATATATGTTTCTTTAAATTGTACACGTGTACTTAAGCTTTGATCATAATCCTTGCAGTTGACAACACAACAAAATATGCCTAGAATTTTTATAAAAAAAGAAATAATTTTCCCGGTAAATTGTTTCAAAAAAAGTGTTTAAATCTTTTATAATAAGTTTTTTTTTTATTTTATCCTTATTATTCTAATCGCAGTATATAGTTTAAAAGGATACAATATTGAGTATAATAATTTATTGAATTTGTGTCTTTTTTCCATAATATTTCAAGATAACCAATTTATAGTAAAATTTTAACATATTTTTATAGCATGGTATTATATCAGACAAGGTCACTATAATGCTAGCAAAGAAAAACACATGATTTTAATATATTAAGTACTCCTGTTCATACACACAATTGCAAGTAAAAGAAATATCTTGGGAAAGAATAAACATTTGACCAGTGACCACTTAGTGAAGCCGAGGAAGTGATAATTGTTTCAGCATTGGCCATATATAAACAAACTATACGGCTCTGTTTCATCTAAACACATTAATTCTTTGACACACTAGATTATTCCCTTGAGCCTCGTTGAATGTGTTCTGCTCTGCTCTAAAACCATCAGAATTAACAGCGCTGAGCATCTAATGAAGCACGGATAATTTTTGGATTGAACTAGGTGAAACACAGCTATTGTTCTCTTTATCAAATCAATTAATGTTTGATTTAAAAAAAGCAAATAAGACACTGACTTGACATATAAAATATACCAGGTCTGTTCAAAACTTTAATTCAAAATAGAGTGTATGTCTCTTATCAATAATGTATAGTTAATACTTGGACATGTTAAATCATGCCAGTTTACAAATTAAAAAAAAAACCGGTAATACAAATTGAAAACACTACATAAATATGTATATTTTGCATATTTTTAGAAAGTATATAGGATAAGTTCAGTGGCGGGGGGAGGGTGTAATTTTTTAAGGAGCAAATTCTCAATCAAAGTTTCCTGTGTTAGGAAGCCAAAAAAATTAGTATGGACACGGACCCCACCCATCCCCACTCCCACCCCTAAAAAATAAATAAATAAATTGAGATAAGTAAATGATGAATAATAAAAAAAAAATTAACAAAATACAGTAAAACATGATTTTTGCCAACACACTTATGTTGAATTGAGTTACAGCGAAGTGCTTTTATTCCCTGTGACTTAATTATGTATTTTTATCTTCATAACGATTTCGCTCATAATAATGCAAAATCATCCGTCGATCCCTGGCACTGCTTTTTAAACATGTTTTACTTGTATTCAACATAATTAATCTATTTCCTGCCATATACAGCATTTGATAACATATATTATATAGGAATTCATATAATTTCTAATTTTCCCAACTAATAATGAAAATTATGACTACGGTACTTACTTGATTTGTTTAGGACACTTTAATCATTTCTCTGAAATGTTGTTGCAAGTGGTGTCATGAGGGTATTCGTTTTCTTTTAAATTGAAATCCAGGGCATATCATTTTGTCTGAAATTAAAGTAAATTTCTCATTTTAATTTACTGGTATTTGGAAGTGTCTGACAACTTATATTTCAGCAGGATTGATCAACTCTGACTAAGTTATTGATGAAATATTTTATTTTAGTTTTTATGCAAACAAAGCATACAAAGAATTTTCATAAATTGATATTATTTGCATATATACCTTAATAAATCCTTAACTGTGAAGAACTACAACATCCTGTTATATTCAACAATCTTTCGATGTGATGAGCATCTTCTGAATTGAAATCGTCAACATTTTGGTAGGGTTGAGAGATGGATGTGTCCAAGACTAATAACACACCCAAGATTATCAGTGTGCAGTGTTTTGATTGACATTTCTTCAGTTAGTGGCACCACATGTTTCCATTCAAATATGTATGGAAGGGTCGCAGTTGCACATGTGAACAGCTATCATTTAAATGCAACTGTTGTTTGAAGGGGAATTCGAAATTGGAGAAATTAGACATTGATATATCTGTGTGTTATACTGTGTTATACTGTGAAAAGGTTATAAAATTAGTTTTGGTCAAAAAACTGCGTGATGAAGTAAGTAGAAACACATGCATGATTTTCAGATGTCAATGGATGTTCATCTTATAGAGAATTTACTGGTCAATGCACTGACTTTTCACAAATAATCTTGGATGAACTATACTAAAAAAGCTAAGGGTAAGAATACTTTTCCTGAAAGATTTTTTCATTTAATAAATATCATAAAATTTCAATTGTTAAAGAAAATTGTTTATTTTAGTGTAAGAAAGCATTGCTTTTTACAACAGTTTTATATCATAATGGTAAATGCAGGGAACCAGGGGAATGGTATAACTTTTTTGATCAGTTCCTTGTTGTAGATTTATGTCTCTTGCACGATTCAAACAGTTACCCTTTTTTCTCATTTAAAATAAAAATAAACACTTTTTATTCAGCAGATATACATTCCTATATCCAGAGAAGTTACCTAATGACCTCAAAATAAAATGTGATCATGTATACTCCTAAAGGAGTGGTACCAACGAGTTTAATGTCTGTAATAATAAGAGGCTTTTCACAAAATTGACTGAAAAGTGATTTCCTAAAATATTAATTGTCAAGAATGAAACGTACTTGATCTTGTGATCCAGTTATGCCCCCCAAATCAAAAGTGGTCTTATATTTCTTAGGAGGACTACAGATCTAGTGCATTAAATTATTTTTCAAACATTAGAATCTCAAGTTACTTAAATATAGAGTAAACAATACTTTTTCTATTTCTAGATCAGTTTGAGCCTTGTGCTTTCACCTTGTAACCCAAAATCAGTAGGGGTCTTTATTCCTTTGAGAGTACCAGCATACTAAGTTTGATGTCTGTAAAGCAAAGCGTTCCCAAAATTTTAAGCAGATATTATTTTTCTGTGTCAGAATAGTCTCAACCTTGAAATTTGACTTTATGAAATCAACAGGGTTATCTACTCTTTTACGTTAGGGAGTACCTGGGTGCACAGCTTTCTTCAAATCCAATTATACTCTGATTCATGTATAAAGTTATATAATAACATTTGAAATCAGAAGAGGAGTATTCGACATGAATCCATTGTCAATAGTTGGAAGAGGAATGTTCCTCCAGTCCAGTGTCAAATTTTGAAATGGGGAGAGGAACGTTCAGTGTATTAAGATTCATGGTTGTAGTGTTTTTTGATAGGAATTGATAGAGGAACATTCCTCAAATGTACTCTTTATATACATGTAGTATGTATTATCAATTGAAATTGACTGATGAACGTTTGTGATATTGTGTGTTAAAACTTGTAAATACGGTGTCAAGTTGAAAGAGGAACGTTCCTCCAGTGTATATACATTGTAGTATCAATATTTGAAATTGGATGAGGAACGTTCCTCAAATATGTTGTGTTTAGACTAGTAAATCCAGTGTCAATAGTTTGAAGAGGAACTTTCATTCAGTGTACATGGTGTAGAAGAGGACCGCTCCTTTAATGCCTAATATTTGAAAATTCATGAGATGCCTACGGTAATAAGTAAATTTGAGAGAGGAATGTTCCTCAAATGGCTGATGTGTTCATTCATAAGGTATTTAAAAATACACACTGTATGTGCACATCTGTAAGAGAGGAACGTTACTCAAATGTCTGGTGATAATAAATGCATCTTAGTTTAGAGAGGGGAATGTTCCACAAATGTCTGGTCATAACAAATGCATCAGAAGTACAGAGAGAGGAACGTTCCTCAAATCTCTGGTCATACCAAATGCACCAGAAGTTTAGAGAGAGGAACGTTCCTCAAATCTTTGGTCATAACAAATGCAACTGAAGTTCAAAGAGAGGAACGTTCCTCAAATCTCTGGTCATAACAAATGCACCAGAAGTTCAGAGAGAGGAACGTTCCTCAAATCTCTGGTCATACCAAATGCACCAGAAGTTTAGAGAGAGGAACGTTCCTCAAATCTTTGGTCATAACAAATGCATCTGAAGTTCAAAGAGAGGAACGTTCCTCAAATCTCTGGTCATAACAAATGCACCAGAAGTTCAGAGAGAGGAACGTTCCTCAAATGTCTTGTCAAAACAAATGCATCTGAAGTTCGAGAGAGGAACGTTCCTCAAAACCTGTACGAAAATTTACGCCCTGACTCCAGGCGGAATTCAGAAGACGGAATCCGTCTATCATCTATAAGGAACTTAATAAGACTATTAGACGGTGTCCGGGTGGAGTCAGGGCGTAATAGGGCTCGAAATATTTAAATGAGTTAAGGCGTATTCCGCCTTTCCTAATATGGATTACCTGCAAGGCGGAATATGGTATTCCGCCTTACCTGCAAGGCGTATTCCGCCTAACCTGCAAGGCGTGTTCCACCTGACCTGCAAGGCGTATTCCGCCTTACTTACAATAGGCGTATTCCGCCTAACCTGTAAGGCGTATTCCGCCTAACTTCAGGTAGCTGTATTCTGCCTTACTAGCAAGGGGTATTCCGCCTAATGGTTAGAGGGATTTTGCATTAATGTTTACATAATCTACAATACATGTACTTATCACAGTGTATCAGATCTTTTACAAACTTAACAATAAAAAAAATTAAATTATACAAATTATATATCATTTATTTTTTCGTTCTTTAAAATTCAATGACTACGAAACATGTTTACATTTGAAAATGTCCTGCCTTGCCTAAATATGAAATTAAAAATTAAAAGATAAAAAACGTACCAAAACTTGATTGAACAATTAGCTGTTAATTTACACTTAGTTGAATATTTTCACAAAATTCTTTCTGTCTGTAAGGAAATATTTTGTCATTTTTATAGTTCTCCTTCCTAAGTTGTCAGTGGTATAACCTAGCTATCTTTTCCATGATTCCAGCTTTCTCTGCCATTCTTCACACAACACATGATGAAGTCTGTAAAGAAAATACAAAACTGAGATGAATTTGTCATTTTAAAAAAACTCTTCAACATTTCTCAATAAAATGACTCTTTTATAAATTCTGTTCTGTATTACAGATCATCTAGGATGCAAACATTCTTATGTAATTTTTCTCAACACTAAAACTTACATAATATAAGAATAATTTTTCATATATGTCTATCAGTTGTCTGATATCTTCATGTATTCTTACCTCTCATAACCTGCTGTAGCAGTCAGCCGGTTACGTCCATAGATAAACTGGTTCCCCGGTACTATCCACTACATTTGAATGAAGCACATGTGTAAGATTGCATTTCTTTTTTCCCATGAATCTTCAGCAAGCTCTCAAATGAGAAGAGCAGAATTGCCTGTTTACTGGTAAGGGTGGATGGACGGTGGCTCCTGGCCTTCATCCTGACTTGCTGCAGTTACCACTATCCTCATATTTACCTTTATCAGCCATAATTGCAGAGTACTTGTACTGCTCAAAGTGCTGAAATGTATAACACTGCACTCAGTGCACTGCAGAAGATCCTAATATTTACTATTTCAATATTAAATAGGTTTTAAACTCTTATTCAATTATTTCATAATTCTCATACATTTGAAAAAGGTACTAACATAAGATCCCTTTCTACAAATATATTTTTAATTAACATGTATAATCAAATGATAATAAATAGCTACTCATGGAATATGTAGATCTAACTTATACAGCTGTTATATTATATGAATAATACTCTTATCCATGTATGTTATGGAATGTATAAATGGTGACTTACAGATCTCAAACTTGACTCTTGATCCAAACTAAGCAGCGAACTACACTTTTAAAAGGGTGTTTATGTAACAATTCCACTAACCACTGGTTAAAACACTGTGCTTAGCCTTACACACAAATCATAACAAAAATTACAAAATTTCCAATCGTGATTTTAAAACTGGAAGTAAGTGACGGTCGCTAATTCTAAAGGGAAATCATATTTCCGGAAAACACATAAAAATAAAAAAAGGACATGTTACTTAATAATTGACCAATGAATCAATTTAGTTTTGTTCCTATCTTTTATCTCTGCACTTTTAAAAATTTTACTCCAAAAGGAAACACTCATAATATTGAGAAAATTTGCAATGGGGGGGGGGGGGGGCTACCCTACATTTGGCAATAAGAAATGGCGCCTGAAATTTTATGCGCATTTTTTTTAAAGATCTGGGTTAGTGGAGAGTGTATTGTGAATACATGGGACCTCAATGCTATTGGAATTAATTAACAGAGTAATGGTGAAGTCCAAATTTTGGCTGTACGAAATTAAAAAGAGAGAGAGAGAGAGAGAGGGAAAAAGAAAGAACAAAACAAAACACGGCTTAAAATTTAACTTACCGTTGTTTTCCACTTTTATTTCTGTACCGAGGTCCTTCCCTGTCCATTTAGCACATGATGTTCACTGCCGAGCAAAATTTGCTTCACTTCAAAGCTTAGTAGAATAACACTAAAAGTTGTCACTCTTTTTCCCCCAAAACACATAACGAATGAACAATCATCTTCTTAATGATAATTTACGGGCATACATCTTGCCTAAGTTCCTTTTTAACTGAATGAAATATAAAGATTCATCAACCAAATTGACAACAGTCATCACTTTCAAAATCTGCATTCAAACTGACCAGCGCATTCAAAGAGAGGCTCTGCCTGAAAACTTCCGCCCCTGTAGAGGGGGTCAAGCAGGTGCGCATTGGAAACGTATATCTGGTATACAATATGGCAGCAAAAAAAACTTACTCATCTAGGAATCGCAATATTCAATGTTATATAAAGCATAATACTCGAAGTCAAATAAATTGATTAAAAGTTATGTTTGACTATTTTTTTTACGAATATCTCCCCCATTTGTGCCTTAGGAAAACAGGGTCATCTAGAGGACTAAAATATGTGGTCATAATTTAAACTGTTCACAATCCTAAGATTAATGCAGATTCCGTCTAAGAGCTAAGCCGGAAAACGTGTAACAAAAATACGCCTAGGATTTAAGGTGGAATCCACCTAAGATATGAGGCGGAAAACGGTTAAAGCTTGGACGTTTTCCAGGTCCGCCTTAGGTACGGCTTGGTCCTCCTAGCACTTAACCGGAATCCGTCTCAGTCCGCCCGGACTCCGGCCGGAAAACGGTTAAGAGTTTCGTACGGGAAGTCTGGTCATAACAAATGCACCAGAAGTTCAGAGAGAGGAACGTTCCTCAAATCTCTGGTCATAACAAATGCATCTGAAGTTCAGAGAGAGGAACGTTCCTCAAAAGTCTGGTCATAACAAATGCATCTGAAGTGTAGAAAGAGGAACGTTCCTCAAATACTAAAAAAAAATTTTCAAAAAGGGAACTTGTGGAGACACATATAAGGATTTTAAGACCAAAATGACTTCAGATTGTAAACTCTGGGTGAAAAAAATGGAGTTTTGATTTTCCCTTTTAGTTTTGGATTGTGTTGTAGTCAAATGCATATGGCTTCACAAAAATGTATTACTATATGCGTCCATGTCATATATTGTGAAATTATTATCTAAACTTCTCGCTTCCATTGTTATGACTGATACTGACTTGTAAAATATTACAATTCATTACCTGATGTCCATCCGCAATTTATAATCACGTTTTATGCGAATTTTATTGCCGTTTTTAGAATTTAGCAAATAAATTGATGTTTTTATTTCGCATGCTTTGACATAAAAAAAAAACATTCATGACATCGCTGTAATATGTCAAACACGTATTCGAATTTTTGGAGAAAGAAAGATGGATAGAGAGATGTCAACAGTGAAGCCGATCGATAACCCTGCCTCCTATTAGTATTAATTACGTGACTTAAAAACAAGAACGGGTACTTGTCAAATTCCGGAAGACGACACTAGTATATCGTTGCTTCAAATCTGATTCATGGCAACATCGCATTGCTTTTGTATAAATGTTCTAAATGTTCTACCTAATATAACCACGTAAACATACCTGTTTATATTGCTTATAATATACATGAATAATGGATTTACTTCATGTGAGGCTCGGTAGAGGAGTCGCAAAGAGCCAAAATAGAGCGTTAAGTCCATCCATTCTTTTCCCAATATATACAGAAAGCAAATCCTTCGTAATCATATTAACCTTAAATAAGTAGGCTACAAATGTTTTAATAAATGGTTCTATCATTCTGCTGGCAGCAATGAGCTTGACAGGTTTATTATTCAATGTTCTACAGTGTCTATATCGGAACAATGGTTGAAAGGCATGAACTGTATCACTCTCTGAGGATTTCACACCCTAACAAATGATTCTAGAAGGACATATTTATAAAGACATTGCCTTATTAAATGGTATACTTTGTAAATTGAAACGAATACAATCTCTTTTAGATTTAACACACTTTGAAAATGAAAATATCAATAGGAATTGCAAAGCCTCTTTTGTGAAATATAAAAAAAGTAAATACGACTTGAATAAGCTTACTTTTTCATGTCGGCATGAGCTCCATATGCTTTTGCAGAGGTGTGGCACGTCAGTTTTCCTTCAATATGATTGCGAAGGTCTTTGTTGTTTTGTATGAAACTAAAATCTGCTCTGCTGTAATTGTTCAATGCAGCAACAATCTTGCTTTGGTTTTCCGTATCAGAATCACAGACAATAACAAGTTGGTATGGCAATTCTGCAGTAAAATTGAAGTATCTCAAAAGGTACAAGTTCTATTAAATTCTAAATGTTTCAATAGTTATAGTTTTATACATGTCACTTTCGTGCAACGTACTGTAATATTTCATTGTCTTTTAGTATATACAATGAAGCGCACTGAAGTGGTAAAATTTTCGGTTTGTTTGGATGAAACGTTCTGGGCTATGTTTTGAACGTCAATTATAACAGAATGACACGCTTGCTTCTTGAGAAACGAACAAGAAATATTCGTCGTAATGTTTTGAGACACCCAACTCTTTGCGTCATGTAATACGAGTTACACCGAAATGGAGATTTTTATAGTTATAAGAAAGATTTAGGGAGTTCCAGCTTCTGTAAAACACGTATTGCAAAGAATTTGTACATAATTATGAATATATCATGTTTATTGGAGTTTCCATAACACATGTATTGGTCGAACACGTGCTTATTCTGTGTTTATGTAGACCGTCAATTTGATTGGATATTATATTTTATAATTCTGGAATACATGTTCTACAGAAATGGGCATGTCATTGTATGACAATCAAAGTTATAAAGATATCTCAAAACGTTCCATTCAAAAGAGAAATTTTACCACTTCAATGCACTTAATGGGGTCTTTTAGTTATCCTATTTTTTACGTACAATATTTTTTTTTTCCTCTTTTGTTCTCTATTTTGTATGTTTATATGTATTTTAATGTCAAGCGCAATAAAGTGACTTAATGTGCTATAGAAATTATTGTTTTGTATTGCAATGTATTGAAAAAATCTCTTGTTCTCTCTCATATTTTCTGGTTCGGGCCTTTACTGTTTTAATATATGGAAATAAATGTAAGAAAGAGCCATAGTTTATCAAATTGCTGAAGGAAAATCATTTCATTTGAAAGAAATTAACTAACAAATAATTGATAGATCATTTTCAACGTATAGTCAATAGCATCGAAAAAATGATGCACGTTATTTGTTGAGAAAAGTATTTGTATTTGTATAAAAGTATCATATAGTATATATAATATCTTTATACCCTTCTGCATATACACATTCAGTCTTCTTTCCGCAATTTCGCTGACATTGTGCTTTAAAACTCCGCAATCTGCTAAACAGTATATTTTCCCGCTTTTGTCATAGAATGATCTTCTCCAGAAGATGTCAATCTAAACAAAGGAAAATTCAGATATATATTCACAAAAATAAAAAGTAATACCGTTGCAGGCAAGATATTTTTCCTTTTAACTAATAAACATAAAAAAATTATCCATAAATCCATAACCTTTGGAAACCAGACGACTTTTCTAAACATATACATGTGAAGTTAATACTTTTTCTGTTATTTTTTTAAATTTTTTTCCAAATTATTTGTCGGTTTTAAGATAGCAAAATAAAAATAACAGTATCGGTTAACCTTCTTAAATAAAGTTATTTTTATGTAGTTATCTATTTCAAAATTAACGATTATCTCCCTCATGCATAGCACTGCTCTTTCGATTATTTGCCCTCATTCTTTAGAACCCCATTTCCAGCTCTTCAGTTTTTTTACTTCAATTATTTTAAATGTCCGATGTTTTGGAATGAGAATCACTGAAGAGATTTAATTTGGTGCATCAAAATTGGTACTGTATATGACTTACACTTTAGAATCAGTTACACAAAAAAGTTGTAAGAGAGAGTTTCAATTTGTCAAATAATAATTAAAAAAAAGAATTCTAAAGTGTTTGTTTAATTTATGAATATTTTAAAAGTTTTTAATCGAAATGCATTAAGACCATTATAGATTATAATAAATATATTGAATTGTTAAAAGCAAGACATTTCAAATTTGTCAAATGTTAAAAAGAACTTTTTCAAATTAGTGAAATGTTAAGAAGAACTTTTAAAAAATTAATTAATCAGTAATTGTTTAAAGGTTTTGTGTGTTTTTTTTTTTTTTTTTTTTTTTTTTTTTTTTTTTTGTATAGAGATGTTATAAACTAAGATGTCGATGTTTGACAATCTTTCATAGTGATTACTTTTTTAACATTATTTTTTCAATAAAGGAAAGTTTAGGGATATGCCAAGAAAGTGACATGTACACAGAGCTGTTCAATGGTTTGATTCAATCACCACCTTAACAAAAATAAATACAGCTATTTGTACTTTACTTTTGTTAACTATTGTGAATACATGTACTTTGATACCCTGATTTACTTTGAATCTTTACTCTAGATCTTTTTTTTTAAAATGGTACCTAAATATTGTAAATTACATATCAATGATTGAAGTAATATGTAGCTGAAGTATGTTTTAATATCAGTAAATTACTTGTAGGAAGGTTAAAAAATAAAATATATCTATCTAAAATTAATATAATTTAAATAACCTTGATGTACTTTTTTGGAAAAAAAAATGATTTCCTATGGTTATAATTAGATTCAACTATAGTTAACTGTAGTACATTATTGATAATTAAGTAAGAAGAATTTTCCTAATACCTCGTCAGCAGTTGTTTGTTCCGTACAGAATAAAATCTCTTCTGGTCGTGGAAGAGGTTCCCTTGAGCTATGACAGTATATCGACAGTACAGTATTTATAACATCAGCTGTGATTTGAAATTAAGATCACATTTAAAAAATCAGTCTGATAAAAAAAACTCAACAAAAACAAATTCCCAAGTCGAAAATACTATATCCATACACTAATACATATTTTTGACCTGTTCCATTTTTTTCTTTTACAATGTTTTCTTGATGAAATTTCTTGTTAAAACTTTCAATTAAAGAAAGAAACAGTCTTGTAGGAGTTTGCTATCATTTAAACATATAATAAAACAGTTATTGCTATTTTTGCGGTCAATGCGATGATTTAGCCACCATTGAAGTACAATATTCACTTCGCCCGAATATTGTACTTCTCAGGTATCTAAATCATCGTTTTGACCAAAAACAGCAATAATTACTATGCCAGGGGTAGAAACTCCCTAAAATAACAACTCGCAAATAATTGCGAATTCCCCAAAAATGAACTCGCAATTTTAAAATGAAAGCTTTCTAGAAATAAATCACTATCTATCCATTTTAATAATAAAAAACTCAGAATTTTCTACATGAAAAAAAAATTGTTGTTTTCTGTAATATTCCCAAAAAATCATTGTTCAGTAGGTCAGGTTTTTTTCCCTAATGATTAAAAGAGTCAAACATTCCTGGACGGAATAAACCAGGTGTTATATTTACAGTGGATACCTAACATGGCACCCAACTTCATTGAACATGGCTGCCTAGCCGCAGAAAAGGAACTTTAAAAAGTTGTGGGGGGAAATTGCTGTTACAATAATAATTACTCTTTATATTTAATAAGGTAAATGTTAACTAGGTTGACATATTTTATATCTCAAGTTAAGCTACAATTAATATTTTTTTTGAAGAAATGGAATCAGTTGATTGATCAAACCATGCAGATTTGGGAGAAACAAAATCCAACTGGAGGTATTAAATTTGAATGAATCATTTTTCTTTAAGGCCCGATCGTCAAACATGGGTTTAAAAATGGGGATGTCAGATAGATTTTTTCCTGGGTGAAATTTACAATAAAAAAAAATCAACTCGCAAAAATTTGCGAGTTACAAATGTTAAAACTTGCAATAAGAATATTCTAACTCGCATTTTGCGAGTTATATATATTGTGAATTTCGAGCCCTGATTACTATGCAACAGCCTTTTAAGTTTTATAATGTTTTGTTGACCCTTGATTTTTTTTAGATAAGAATATTTTTTTGACTAATATGCAATTTAATGTAATTAATACCAGGAGACAAAACAATATTTTTTTTCTAAATTATGCTGTTGAAATTGATTAAATTAATTATTAAAATTGAGTACCTTTCTGGCAAATTAAAACGTTGGGTTCGTTTGTCTTGAAGTATTTCATGAAATCTCTTTTCAGCTCCGGTTCTGCATTAAAAAATATGTTTTAAATTCTCTTTAAAAGAACAAGATTGATGACGAGAAATACCCACATAGACATAAATATGTTTTCATGCTTAGCTAACACAATGTCTACGAGACAAAACGGGTGACTAGGACTAAATTATCAACAAAGTTTGTTTTCTATTGGGCATATTATTACAATAAAGACCCATTTTCATCTTTTTTGGAATGACTATGCATATTGCTAGAGTGATCCATGTAAACAAACTATTTATATTTGATAAGATTTAACAAATTATCCCCCGTGAAAATAATTGAGATGAACTATTATTCTTCATATTTTGAATACATTAAACCTAAAGCAACTACAGCTACAGAAAAAAAAATACTTAAGAATAAGACAAATTATACAACCTCTAAATGTAAGCTCCTGGAGTGTCATTCCTAAGTGCTCTATACTTAAGTAATCAGAGACACTTGATGAAACTGATTCTACGAATGATTGCCACACTTTGTCAAGCTCCGATAATAAGGACTGTGTTTCAGATTCTCTACAATATACATTTATGTTCATCAACAAGCCTATCTAAATAGAGACTGGTTATCAACAGTTATTTGTAATTTGTTTCATGTAACTACTTAATAAATATTAAATCAACAGAATTTCTGAACTTGAGTTTGTTGATTTTAACTGAAAATGAGTGTAATGTACCTATAAGCATCGTTAAAAAGCATCACGTTTTGGTTCGAAATGAGAAATCATCTTTTTGAAATGGATGATACAGATAAAATTTATCTTCCAAAAGACAACAATAGATAAAATATAAGATAAAATACTTAAAATGAGTGAATTATTAACTGATTTTAAATACATAAAAATTTCTAGCCAAAGAACAATAAAGTTATAATTAAGTTTTCATATTAATTATTTATATCAAATAGTTTAATATAGTATAGATTTTTAAAAGCACATCCTGTGTAACCAATACTTCTTGTCTATGTGCAGATATTTTTTTCTGTGTATACCTTCAATCACATGTTATGCAAATTGAATTAATTCACAAAAGAAGGCTGAAAGTTCCGATACTTAACATTTTCACACACCCTCACACCTACTTGCCCAATTTTCGATCAACCTGTGAGGCGCTCTGGCTTACATTGAGGTCTTGGAATGATACAGAGAGAGATATAAAATCAGTTAACATTATTTTCTATTTATTTCTTTTTATTATATATACTAACGTATTTTCCTCAGAGATAAGACTCGAATACTTTGTCATCGTTGTTGTTCTAAGAGAGGCTTTAAACCGATTTTTATCTTCTATTTCTTCATCGTGTTCATGCTCTAAACACCACAGGTAGCCTAAAAAGGTAAGGATGTAAAATATATATATATTAGTTTAAACTTTATTTCATTTAAATTAGATATCATATATACACAGCAGATAATACAAACAGGATTCGGAAACAAGTTGTAACAACTTATATTAATCCGTTTCCCTAAACATATATTTTGAATGACAAAAAAAAAATAATATCCATCATTAAATAGAAATTTCCTTCCATATAAAATGTACGATTGGCATTTTTCTGGTAATCAGTCTTTTAAAGTTCATCAAAAATGCTTTTTGAAAAAGACCTCACCGGCTGCTATATCAGTTTCTTCTATTCCTTCTTTTAAAGCTGCCAGTGCTGTTTTTCTTGTGTTACCTACTTTCATCATTTCCTGAATAAATTGTTCAGAGCCTGAATGAATTTCTTCTTGTCTGTCTCTTGTCAACGCATTTGACTGTTTATTTTCAATTTTTTCAATACAATTACTAGCAAGGCCTAGTGCATTCACGAGATCCTCCTGGTCACAGTTTTCTTTGGTAAGAGATAAAAGTTGATACACTTGAAGCGAATGATCAGATCCGCGTTGAACTTTCGCTAATTCTTTTTGAAGAGTAACGAGCTGGTCCATTGTGTAGAAATTGAGACGAGGGTACTTCTCTCGCTTGTCATTTATAAATTCAGACCATTTATGCAAACTATTTTCTAAAAATGTTGCAAGATCAGGCATTAGAGTTGTAACATCATCGTTGTCGTCACGTCTCCCTTTTAATTGTTTGTAGTCCTTTCCATATCCAAAATTAACGAATGCACAGACGGGACGCTTTGGATCACATAAAAATTTGACATGCCAGTTTGAAAAAAGGATACACCCGGCCTCGATTAATTTTATGTAAATATTGCACAATCTTACGACAGTATCGAAAACCTACAATAAATGAATAAATTTAATATTTGACGGTAAATACTGTAATTTATTCAATTAATACAAATGATACTTTTGAACTTTATATTTTTTCACCGTGAAAAATATCAAAAGTGTTATTTTCACTGACAATATATCCAAATTTACTGTGTTACAACAATCTTTTTCACAAAGCATGTAATGGAGAATATAAAAAACCATCCTGACACAAACAAAAACTATTAAAGGTTCTCCAAAATGTATTTTATATCGTCTTTGTTTAAATTTTCAATCTCAATAATGGAAGCAGCGAAAAATCATAAACTGTAACAAGAGGTCCATCGGCCTTATAAGTCACCTGAGAATTATGCAACAACTTTCCAGTGATTGAATTTTATTCATGTTTTAAGCCAGATGCTATGACATTCACAATTTTGAAAGGGGTACCCATTGATCATCATAACAATACACTTGGCAGCTGTTTAGTTTGGTAACTTGAATACTTGTAGGCAGGGTAGGGGGAACAAAAAATGCATTTCGACTAATCAGTAATATTCACCAATAATCAGTAGTGCCCCTACCACACATGAACCTTTAGGGCTAGATCAACACATTGCACAATTTTTGAAAAGGCATCCTTGCTTTTCATAAATATTTGATTAATACCAAGGAGAATATTTCAAACAATTCATTCATTTTCAGTATATAAGTACAGACCCCCCCTCTATGGTACCCTCACCATGGGGCCTTGAAATTCAAATTCTGGAAGATTAGGCCCCTTACTCATCATAACTATATAGGTAATTCATATGCTTAATACTCAGAAGCAGAGAAGAAGATTTTAAAAGAATTCATGTATTTTACCTATATAATTAATAGAGCCCCACCCTAACACTAGAACCCCTGTCTCTGGGTCCATAAAATTTACAATTGTGGTAGAGGCACTCTTGCTCATCACAACTATGTACTTACATGTAGTTGTTTTTTTTAATACCCAGTAGCAGAGAAGAAGATTTTCAAAGAAATAATGCATTTTCACTATATACTTATTTAGCCCCACTCTAGCACTAGAACCTCTGACCCAAGGGCCATGAATTTCACAATTTTGGTATAGGACTCAATTCTGATTACAATCATGCAAACATACTTCTTGATGTCCAGGAGAAAAGAATAAGATTTTTAAAAATTGCATTAATTTTAGTGGTTTTTGGCCCCATCCCTCAGGCCCTAGGGGTGATAAGGATTATGAAAGTTCCCCTTTACCCATAAATGCTCTGTGCCAAATTTGGTTAAAATTGGTTCAGTGGTTGCAGAGAAGAAGCTGAAAATGTTCAAATGTTAACGCACGACGACGGACGCAAACGGATAGCAATAGGTCACCTGAGTTTACTTATAAAAAGAAATAACTTTTTCGTCTCATTAAAGATTATATTTAAAAATTTATCCAATGCTGATATAAATTCCATATTCGACTACGATCATGAATATCTTTTATATTATACATTTAATTTTAGATGATTTTATTTTGTATTGTTTCATGGACTTTGATATTGAAAACTATTCGTATCTCTATATGTTTCACTTCAATGTCTCAAGATAAGTAAACTCACTTATGATAATCGATATGCAAATACTCACTTAGAATTAAATGTAATGGGAATACTCGTATTCATATTAAACAACGTAATTTTTCCAAAAGAAATAAAATTCAACATATTTATTTCTGATATGCCTATTTTACAGTAGCTTATGCAAGCCCAGTTAACATTGAATGTGTGCTAGCCCTGTGATTATTTATAAAGTTGATACATTTTTATGTTGATGCTGAAATAGGTCTAGTACCAGTTATATTCCAAACTAATCATTAAGAAACAGCAATTGAGATATTTTATTATTTATTTTGTTTTACTACGAACTAAAATATAGTTTTGATAACAGGTGTGCCAAAAATGTAAATTGCAATCCAATACATATTTCTCGTTTATTAAATTCTGAAAATATTGTACACTATTTTAATCACTGGTTTGGGATTATTTTGAATTAATGACAGGGTTTTGTTTTCAATAAACAATTTTGAATACATTAATTTGGTGACAAAAACAATAAAACATACATTTGTAAAACGCTCCACATCTTCATTTCCTTGTTTGGCTTTCCCTGCAATCAGCATGAGTTTACTTTGTAATTCTTGTAATTCTTTGTAATGAAATTGACGACGGAGTCTTGCTTCTACTTTCTCATCTTGAATGTGAAGTTGAAGTACATCGTCTACATTCTGAATATTAAACATAAAAATATAAATATTATAAAAGGAAATTACATACCGTATATGTTGATTTAAAGCAAAGGGTTTTTATATTATTACTTATTCACTTACCAGCTTTTGTTTCAATGTACTAGGAGAAAAGCTGCCAATTAGATAAATCCCGGAATTGTTAATGGCTTTCGCTTGTTCCATTGCTGAAATTTCTACAGATCCCTGAGCTTTCTTTACACTTTCAAGCCATACAAGTTCTCGTTTTGTGTCCTTCTACAAATTAAGCATTAAATACCGTATAAGTGGAAATTTTAGCGAGACGCAGATTTCGTGATTTCTCCTTAAAAATGATATTTTATTTTTAGAGAAATGTATTTTAGCGATGTAAAAAAGCTAACTAAAAAGCTATTACAAATAAAGCGCAATTAATTATAATCGATATTCAATTTTAGCGATCTTGGCACCCTCGCTAATAATGCCTAAATTAAATCCTCGTTAAAATTCTGCTTATACGATACATTATATTTTACAATGATGCTAGCAAATAGTTTATATATAAATCGATTTTTATAATATAACAAGAAAGAAATCACAAAATTACATTTATCAACTTACAAATTTAACAGGAAGTTTGGGATCAGCATCTAGTTCCTTCCAGACATATTTACACTGCCCCAGAAAATGCTTGTAGTCGCATTCTTTTTCAATGTTGAAAATAAGGGGTGCGTAACCAGTCGTGGCTGATTGAAAACAGTTTACCCTGTCAACTTCCATGTCCCATTCTCCAGCAGATATGGTTGCCAAGTCAACAAAAACAGCCAATTGCTGAAGATCTACAGATGATGTTGCAACGTAATTTTATTTTCCCTTAATTTTTGAAATAGTCCAAAGACATAAGTACTTACATTGTTCTTTAACCTTACTAGGTCTATATCATTTAGATTTTTAACATTAAGAATTTAGGCAAAATTATTCCAGTGCTCACTTACCTTACATTTATCTACTTCATAAATGTTTATGATTTTCATATTTGAAAGTAGGTATACACAAAATTGAAGAAAGTTTGTTCCATGAAAAGGGCATTGAAAAAATATACTTTATTTTTTCTAGTTCATTAAAAATATTTATATTACAAATATATTAATCTTAATAGCTAATTGTAAGAGCAAACTCAAATTACTGACCATTGGTTCATATTGCTTTAATATATAAACTCACCTGAATTTGAGAATATTAATCCCGCTAAAGTATGATCTTAACCTATCCGCATTGTCAATAAATTGAACATTAATTTGAACACTGTAAAATTTAATGTGTTTAAATCAAAATTGTAAAAAGGAAATTGAATAAAATTGAATTATCAATAAGATGATGCTGTATTTGCTTTCTCCTCTTAGGCATCTGATCCGGAATCTGAGATGTTTTCGTTTAAAAGGCCAATAAAATTTTCTTCAAATGAGTAAAAATGTGAAATTTTAAAATTCCCCCTTTCTAAAGTCCGGATGAAGGGGCAAGGACGTAGTATCATGGTGCCGGGTTAAGACTTGACCCTTCCCCCATTTTTTTCTAATTATAATCTTTTGCAGTAGGTTTGAACTAAGGACATTGGAATCGGTACGACACAATTATCCAGAGGGTAGAAACTTTCCTGGCACGGTTTTTTTTTAATTTTAAAATAGTGACTGAGAGTGTTCTCCCGTGCTGATTTCTCTACGCGGTCACAACCAATGATGCGCGTGTACTACTTTCAATAAATTGAAACATCTGTACAGCAAGAAAGGAAAAATGAAGAAATTGTTTATTTGTACATTGTGTTGAGAGAACTGGATTCCAACAGGTCGTCATTCATAATATCTATGCTAGATATGACAATACTAAAATGAGAACCACTGAAAACACTGCATTTTTTAGATCGTGCGAAGGAGACAGCATTTAGTTACTATACGAATACAAAAAAATCTATGCCAATAATTTTGTGACAATCTGTTTTCAAAAAGTACATTACATGGACACAAAATGTGTATTTTTCTTTTAATTTGAATAATTTCAACCTCTCGACCTACAATAGCTTTCAAATAATTTCAAACCTCTTGGAATAAGCATCACTGAAGAGACAACATTTTTCGACATGCTTATCTGGTGCATCAAATTGTTACCGTTTAACATATAATATCATTCATGTTTACCTGGTGCCGCTGATTGTATCCAACTCACAAGTTCCTTGCATTCAATAAATGTTTGTAGACAAACAATCTGATTGTCTGAGATGTCACAAAGAACGTCACAAGCTTCCAAAAATGATTTGTCTAGATCTTGTATTTTCATTTGTTTGTCGTCTCTCTAAAACAAAAGCATCGTCTGCACTTTAATATTTAAATAAATTCACATTTAATAGTTTGAAACAGATTACTTCAAACATTCTTTCTACTCTATCAAAAACTGCTTTAATGTGAATTATACACGCATCATCATTACATACCATCTTCACAATTTTTTCAATTGGACTGAAATCGCCTTTCAGATCAAAGATTTGTACAAATTCCAAGATGACCTTGGCCCCTTTAAGACACGTGTTGAGTTGCCTGTGTTGATGTATCTGTTGCATTCTTTCTGATATCCACTGATTATTTTCTCCATCGCTGTACAAAGTCATTTCCTTTTTAATAACTTCTGTGTCATAATTTGAGAAGTACTTGTCAAATTCTTCAAAGGTAATGGATCCACTCTTTAGCCTTTGAAACAAATCATTCCACGTTGGAAATACTGTTCTCCAAACACTTTTTAGAAGATGTTGTATTGTAGGCACAATTTTTTCTTTATTGCTAGAACATTGTGTCTTCCACAAATCCAAAAATACAAAGCTGTCAGAGATCCTGCAAAATGCACATATTTTGATAAATTTACAATGATAAGCATTATTTTGCATTAGCTATACTTGCGTTCCTTGCAATTGGTTGATAATTTTGTTGAAATATTGTTCGTGTGTGAAGTCTTTTTAGCTAGGATCATTACAGCTAAGATAGTAAAATAAGAATGTAATGCTTACATATTTACTTAAACTTAACTAAATTATACTTAAACATTAAAAAAAGGATTGCATACAAAATCGAAATAAGAAAGCTTTATTAAAACAAAAACAATATCACTTTTTGTGAATCAAAGATATAGTCTGAAACATTTTTATGAATGCTCACAATGATATTGACATTTGAGATGTAACCCTCGGCAGAGATCATGGCACACTACCAATGTTTAAACAACTTATATGCCAAGTTAAGTTTCTTTTGTTTTCTGATTTTAGAAATATGGACATGTAATGACCCTGTCCTTTGATATTAAACTCTGAGTAATGACCGCGACTTTGCAAGTGATTTAATAAAATTCAAATTGAAAGGCTTTAGATTTAAAATTATATATAGAATGATGGAATGAGGGCAATATCTAACAAATACAACGTGTAAAGTTAATGGTTTGAAAGAGAAACATTATCACTGCTATGTTTATGCATAATTGAGCTTGTCTTGCATTATATTCAACATTACGGAAATATTCACTTAAAGTGTTTTGGAAAAAATGATACCAGAGTAGAGTTGGAAATTCGTTATCTATTCCTATAATCTTCGACATAGTCATATAATTACATGCTATCTAACATTTTTCGTTAATTGGTACATGTAATAGAAAAAGGTGGGTAATGAAAGTATTTGATTTAATTTTGTTTTAAGAAATACCACCTGTGTTTAAGTATCTTCACTCTTCTTACATATTTACAGAGTATGGCATCTATTTCTCTATAGTTACATGTACATTACAGTTATGGGTACATTATTGGTAAAAGTATTTAGCATACATGTGATTAAAGTTATTTTGTTTTCTATTGTGTCCGTAGCGAAGAAGGAAGTAACTTAAACCCACTTTGCTTCTTTTCCCTTTAAATAGGGCACCTCTAAATTGTAGACAGATCTGCACGAGATTTGCATGCATATTTGGCCTCCTTAGTTCCAGACCTATCGACCTGCTTGATTAATATTCCGGTAAAATTATCAAGAAATCAACTCCGCTAACTTTCAAAGAGTTATCACAGAGATAAAAAAGTAATGGAAATATAAAAAAAAAATCAATAAATCACGTGGCTGTAGCTCCATTTACATTCGGTCGAAAAGCGACCAATTTATATATGTACCGTTGCATGTACATTTTCAATTAATCAACATCGAATTAATTTTTCTGTCAGGTATTTTTAATATTTTCTTCACTTTCAAAAATACGGAGAGAGAGAGAGAGAGAGATTAAAAATATTCGATACGGCACTAATCTTTTAGAAAACATAGATGTTTTTCTTTAATATGATTTTTTTTTCCGTTTTCATATACAAGTAGACTTCCTTTTTCAGTACGTATTAGTGTTAAAATTTCACATAGAAAAGACCAAAAATTAGGGGGGAAATCTGGATATAGGGAAGAGGTACATGTACATCTCCAAGATCCTCGCCAGCACATTTCTTTCCAAAAAAGAGAACTGGCGTAATCCTTGAGAAGTACTTTGTGCTTACTTTTCTGTATTTTTATATCCCAGAAGCCATTATAACTGGCTATAACATGTTTTCAATCAATCGATGAAATGTCCCGCATACTCCGAATATTAATGTGACACAATTAAAATCAACTTAAACAAGCGCAACATTCCGGAATTAACATTCTCTAGAGGACTTTTTCAACTCCGTTAAACGTTCATCGGTTTCGTTGCGGTTTTTTTTTTGGTTGTTGGTTTTATTTCGCCGCGTTCTAAAACATATGAAAGAATTGCTGTTCATTTCCATCAGCCTTTAAATAAAATTAAAGCGCCGTTTCCAATGAAAATGGACAATGAAAATGGAAACATTCTTTGTTAACTTACATTGCATTAATATTGGGAAATCATCGTGACAAAAAACATATTGTTTAATACAAACCTCTGAATTTTTGGCAAAGCTGCAATTTCATCATCTGTTAAGTCGCATAATTTAACTTTGGGTTTGTAATATTTAATATCTCCAGACAACGTTGTGAGAGGCACACAGATATCCTTTAGAATGCTCGTTTCATTCACAAGATCACTGATGTTTAGATTGCAAGAATGAACTAAAAATGAATTTAAATATTGTATAACTTTGTTAAAAAAAACTTTTTAAACTGATTTTAAGAATAAAACCGAAATTATAAAATGTATTCACCATTGAAAGTTGCTTGCACAAGGTTAAAAATTGCTGCTTGGATATTTCTTGTTTCCTTTAACTCTTTGCTTCGGATTTGAATCATTACCAGCATTCTTTTTTCATCAAAATGTGGTTTTCCTTTGTACGAGAAAATAGTTGCACATGCTTTGATGAATGTGTCGGGTTTCTTTTCTATTTCCTCAATATCTTTAACAGTAATATTGCCAATCTCGATATTTTCCTTGATGTTGACTATGCTCACTGCTGCCTCACGCGCATTGACCTGACATTTGTTCGATAAACGGAACTTTTCTGCAACTTAAATGAGAGAATCGAATTAAATAATAGAGTTCTATTGATGAAAATATCAAGTATTTATTTTACGCATGTAATATATCCTTTTTAGTATGAACTATTCACTGCTGAATATTCAGGAAATAACAGATGAGCAGCGATAACTTAAATGGAAGAGAAACTGTACAATAAAATTATGATAAACTTAGAAATAAACGTTAAACTGTGCACCCCTTGTATTTTTATTGTGAAAGTATATTAACACTTACAAAACATTTCCAAAAGATGTAAAAGTTGTGGCCAAGATAACAAAAACGAAAGTCCTATACGTTCGTTTTGCCTCGCCCAATCTCTTTCACACAAGTTTGACATCAAAACACCATATTTTATCTTTTCACTGTCATTGAATGATTCACATCTGCATGATGCCCCTGTTTCCAAAACCTGAAATTATATAAAATGGTTTGAAGTCAACGGTATCGATATGAACAATGTAGCAGGATGACATGATGTGTTGATTTGATGTCGAGTCGATGTCTTTCAACATTTAGAAGTCAATAAAAATCAATGCAATATTGATATTTATATCGATACTAGGCAAATAGGTAATAAGGTAATAATGTACAATAGGTATGATATTTCCACTTTGTTGACTTGATATCGTTTAACCTACATATAACTTTTCTAAATATAAAGTCTAATGCAATTGATTTGTAACATGTTTTAATACAATGCTCCCTGACGTATTTCATTTAACAAAACTCAAAAAAATAAATTGTAAACAATAAACAAAATGCATAGATTGCGATAGAATGGGAATAACTATCTTTTAATTTGGTATTTGCGACTGTTAATGCTGATTTAACGGTCGCAAACATCCGTTTTACCGGCTCTGCTAACGCGTCACCGTTAAAACTCAGTTTGCGACCTTTAAATCAGTATTAACGGTCGCAAATACCAAATTAGAAGACAGGTATCCCCTAAATTACAGAATATCTTTATGCTTTCACTTCTCAATATTTTCAATCCTCGCCAAAGCTAAAAATATTAGTGCCAAAGCCAGATCTTCGTGGAATTAAATGAAATTGATATCGATTAATTCAAGCTTGAACATTTTATACAGAAAAATACCTTTCTAAATTTGTATTGGCACTGTGGATATTTGCCTATTGTTAAAAATGACTAAAACATGTTTAACAGGTAAAGTTTGTATGATTATGATTTACAATATTCCATGTTATGATTTTAAAATTTAATAAATAATATTTCGAAGAAATTCTCTCATATTTTCTCTTCAGTAAGGTTTTCTTTTTCTCATAATCTAAGAATTCAGCATAGGAATTTTTAAAATAATGTACATATTTTAGAAACATTCTTTTATTTTCAAACAAACATATCTTTTATCGCCAACTACATGTAGAATCACTGATACACAAAACACGATACACGATAGAACCTGATAAAAATAATCTTCACGATAAACGCAAAACGCTAAATGCAAAACACGATAGAAAACCCAAAACCTGATCATACGGAATCTGTCTCCTAGCAGTATATGAACAGCGTGTTAGACCGCTCGGTTATGAAGCAAGTCAAAAAACTAGCTTTTGATGCCGATTAAATTCTCGTGGCGCTGCCTTACACTACATCACCTTACTAATGTGTTCGGAACTTTTTCTTTTTCGGTGTTTTGCAAATAATTAGACCCAATGACTTCAGAGTAGCCCTGACAGTGGCTCAGGCGTGAGTTAGCGAGACTTCAGCGAGATAGGGTAAATTATTCATGGAAACGTGGCTAGGAAGTGACTAGCACGTGGAGACATGGTAAACAGAAAAGTTATGTTGCGTTTTAGTTTCACCACGCTATAAGATCATTCTGTAGAAATGTACTTCAGTTATAGATATCTCTTGAATTCATTCAAGTTTGAATTATAAGTATTCTCTATGATACAATTTTCTGCTGTCATAAATTAAAATTTGTTTTTGGACAAATATTTTGCATGGGAACCGGAACTATATTTTTTGGCGTCAGATTAGCAAATGAGGCACCAATGTGACTTTAACTGACAAATCAGCTGAATGAGAATTGTATTATGGGTTACTACGAATACTACAGGAATTTTATGCTTGATAAATTCCTTTATTGTACTATCGGTGTATACAATTGTCAGGTAGAGTCCCTGGCCAACACATGATCACGAGTATAGTTTTGTAAAAAATGTTTTGTCCATTTAAATGCATACGAGAAGCTAACCCTTGAAGTGCTGGTGTTTTGAACTTGACAGCCCTTAACTACGTATACATTTTGTAAAACATATTCTTCTCTAGTTAACAACAGATTAAAAACGCGCCTGAGCCCCGTGATATCTATCACAGTTTCTAATGTTTGCATTCTGTTCATAAGAACTTTTTTTTATTTTGCACTCCATTGACATGATCATAGATTGACCTGAACCACGTGTTCGAAGTAACATGTTAACAAAAATGTATTTCTCGTAAACGTCACCCCTACTAATGTGTTCGGAACCTTTTACTTTTCGGTGTTCTGCAAATTATAAAACCCGATGAGTTCAGAGTCGCTCTGGCTGTGCCTCTGGCGAGTGTTAGCGAGACTTCAGGAGAAAGGGTAAATTATTCGCGGAAATGTGGCTAGGAAGTGACTAGCACGTGGAGGCACGGTAAACAGAAAAGTTATGTTGCGTTTCAGTTTTCACCACCCTAGAATCAGCTGATAATGTCTGTAGAAATCTACTTCAATCAATGGATCTCTTATACATCAATTCAAACTTAAATAAGTATATGATACAATTTTCTGCAGTCATGAATTAAAATTTCTTTTTGGACAAATATTTTTGCCTGGGAACCGGGACAATATTTTTTGGCGTCAGATTAGCAAATGAGGCACCAGCATGATTTTAACCGACCAATCAGCTGAATGAGTATTGCATTATGGGTTACTACGAATACTACGAGATTTTACGCTTGAAAAAAAGGAAAATTTTATGATAAATGAAAAGCATTTTTAAAAATATTATTTTCATGATCATAATGAAAACAATTCATTTGTTAAATAAACGGCGGAAGTCTAGGTTTCTAAAAGTCCTACTGCAAAAGCGATTTGCGTCTGTATTAATTCCTTTGGAGAGTACAATTGCCAGGTGAATTCCCTGGCCGAACACGTGATCACAAACGTAAACAAAGTTTTGTCCATTTAAATGCATAAGAGATGCTGCTCGTTCTTCTTACCCTTGAAGCACTGGTGTTCTGAACTAGACACAAACTACATTTTATTAAACTTTTTTCCATTTAACAACATATTAAAAACGCCCGTAACACCTTTCATAGTTTCTTTTCTTTGTATTTTGTTCGTAAGAACATTTTTGGTATTTTGCAGTCCATTAATATGATCGTTGATTGACCTGAACTACGTGTTCAAAGTAAAATATAAACATGTATTTGGTGTAAACGTTGCTATTCATTCAACGATTGTTCTGTTGCTCGTGGTAAGATCCTCTGTGCGTATTTATAACAATAGCCATATAAGGCAAACAAAGGTCTGTCAGTGTAGATGATAATGCACATTTTTTACCAGCGAATCGGTCACTAGTGAGCTCTAATTTTCGCCGAATAGTATAAGATATATTGTTATTTTAACACCCCCACCTTTAGCAACCCTTTTTTCTGTTGAAAATTATGAAAGTCTTTCAGACAGGTCTGGAATCATTTATTACAGGACATGTTTTAAAAAGAAACAGGCTATAGCAATATCATGTTTACTGCCAATTTTATTTATAAAACCGGTTCTACCCTATAACCTTTGAATAGATCAACCTAAACCACGTGTCTTGAATTTAAATCACAATTACATTAGTAGGGGTGAACGTATTCAGTCAACAATTGGTCAGTTGCTCGTGGTAAGATCCTCTGTGCGCATTAATAGCAATAGACATATAAGGCAAACAAAGGTTTGTCAGTGTGGATGATATTACATTTTTTACCAGCGTATCGGTCGCTTTTGAGCTGTAGTTTTTGCAGTAAACTATAATAAAATGTATTAATTGTTATTTACCACCCCCCCCCCCCAGCCACCCATTTTTGTTGAAAAATTATGAAAGTCTTTCAGAAAGGCCTGGAAATGCATTTTACACAGGACTTGTTTTCAGAAGAAACAGACTATAGCAATATCCTGTTTACTGCCAATTTTATTTATAAAACCGTTTCTACCCTATAACCTTTGAATAGGAAAACCTAAACCACGTCTCTTGAATTTAAATCACCATAGCATTAGTAGGGGTGTACATGTTTATTCAGAATGGAAGTGAGATACAGTTATTTGGACATTGGTTTTATAAGTGTATCGTTAACAATATACTTTGTGATAAAATAAATTTTACTTACAAAGCACGATGTTTTGTGCAAGTGCAATGCAACTGCTTAATTATTTAATCATGAATCAATGGATATTTAAACTTTGTAATTTTGTAATTTTGTAATGAAGTGTGAAAAAAGGGCTTCAAGTGTCCAGCGAGGTCTTAAAGATAATTGATTATGCAAGCCAAACTATGGGCCCTAATTAAAGTAAATTAACAGTTTAGCATTTAAACTGGAAACGATATATTGTTCTTAGGTTTAGAGGTTAATTTGAATAATTATTTATCGCACTAACAACTACTTATTATGGATAGGAGAAGGATATGGAGATAACAAAAAGTATTCAATCTCAAAGTCCATAAAACAATACAAAATAAGAGCAGAGCAAACACGGACCCCCGAAACAACAGAGTTGGGGACAGGTGCCATGGAGGAGTGAGCATCCCCTGCCGACCGGTCACACCCACCGTGTGCTCCTTGTCATGATCAGGAAATAACGGAAAAAATTCGTCGTCAATTCAGTGTATAAATAATGGACTAACAATTGGTATGAAAAAACGTCAGTCAGCATTTGACTCAATGATAAATTGTATTTGCTGACAAGGTCATTGTATCGACCATAGAACTTACGAAATGATGACTTTAAACGAGACTGCTGATATTCTTGTTTCATCAACTTGCTTGTCAATAATTTACCTCGTTTCACAAATTGTTCATACGTAGAGCATGCTCTTGCGTATCGAATTAACTGAGATATATACTCCGTATGCAGGTGATGAACGTATATTGCTGCATAAGTAAGGGAAGTTGACGATAGAAAAGTTAAAGTCATCACGTTTATCATATAGTTTGGTTGTTAGATTAACACTAGCGTCTTTTTCAAGTAAAATATCCAAGTATGAAAAACAAGTCCCAGACTCTGTGGTATCTTTTATCTCAAGCTCACCAGGATGTATCGTATCGACATAGGAATGGAAATTACCATTATCAATTCCAACACGTCGTCGATATATCTTAATGTCGAGTTGAAGGCCACAGCAAGTGTTTTCTTCTTTTCACGCATAAGATTTTGCATAAATTCTGTTTCATATGAATATAAAAATAAGTCTGCTAATAACGGAGCACAATTTGTACCCATGGGAATTCCAATAGATTGTTGGAATACCTGGTCTCCAAAAACCACACAGATATTGTCAATCAGAAACTCAAGCATCTTCTTGATGTCAACTTCAGAGTACTTATGTGTGCAATCAGAATCTGTTTTAACAAAATAATTTTGCAAATGACCAATAACGAGGTAAGTAAATTTACGAGTTCCATTTTTATTGAAGAAGCAGCTGTCAATGATATCAGAAAGCCTGGATTTTAATTTTTCGTGGGGAACTCTACTATTTGGTATACATACTCCACTATTTGAGCTCTTTCAATGTCAATGACTTTGTGATCTTGACTGAGACCCATATGCTTAAAAAGGCTTTTTTGAACCTTCACTATAACTTTTGAACCACAAGATGTAGAGACTTCGTATTCGGTATGCGTACTCCACCAATAAAGCTCTTTCAAAAGACACCAAAATCAAAGACCTTGTGACCTTGAATGTGACCTATATGCTGAAAATAGCTTTTTTTTAACTTAATTGACACCGGGCGCATAGTGTTTCACAAACACATCATGTTTTTATCTAAGGAATTTAACTGTGGCTGGACCGACTTTAATTGGCCAATGTAGAACTCTGGTTCTTTATCGTTGTAAAATACCCGAATCTTATTTTCAAGATAATTTTTTTTTATTTACGGTAGGATTTTTCTCTGGTTTCTGACTAGATGAAACATTCAAAGTATATTTGCTTATATGTCATATATTGAGGTGTAAGGCATTTAAAAGACCATATTTTTCTTTCCTCATCACAATTCTACAACTTTAAATAGAAATAGTAAACTGCATTTGAAAACTAGCACGGACTACATTTTTGGCGGAATAATGGCGTATGAAAATATCTTCTTTTCTGCCTCTCAAAATTATAATAGAACAATGAATTTAGTTATAATTTTTACACAATCGAAGACTTGGAGAAATTTTCAAATGTAAGTTAAATTAATAATGAGGGACTAAACTTTCAAAATATATAAAATAAATATGATTTTTCAAACAAAGTAGAACTTTGTAAGATTTTAAACGCTTCCTATCAAAGTGAAGATTTGAGCCAAAAATCCATAAACGTATTTTTTCTCTCTAAGTAAACGATCAAAACTTTTTGTTTTTGTATCATTTTGTACATTTATAAGACTTCTTTATTATATGTGAAAATAAGAAAAGGTTAAATATACGAAGTATATGAAAATAACTAATATATCCTAAAAAATTAAGGAAAACAGAGAAAATTCGGCTTAGCCAATATCCAGTTCAATTAAATCATTTATGTAAATTGGGTAATATCATGCTATAGACCCGATATAGTTATATGTTTTTATGCAAAAAGAACAATCTTTAAACTTTTGAAATAGAAGTAGGTATCACCTGACTTGCAACAGTATTTTTTTATTTTTAATGTCAAGGAAAAAGATAATGACCTTGACCTGACCTTGCCTCTAATATAAAACGTTCAATATTAATTTCACTGATACTATCACTTACTGATATCGTCTTCTGTGAAAATTTCATTTATTTTTAAATATAAGTATGAGAAGAATCCTACCTTAATACAGACTAATTTTTTTTTACACTTGCCTTCATTGCAATTTTCTCAAAGCTTTCTCGGAGTATAAGACTGTATTCATTGCCAAGTTTACAATACCAATCAAGAATATACTCCATAAATGACTTTCTCGTAATCTGAAAAAAAGAAAAATCATACTACTTTTACTGCAATTCTCCTTTTTACACATGTGCATGATGATAATCGGGTGTGTGGTTACATGTATTTAGTCAGAAAATAGATGTCAACACCACCCACCTACCCACCCCCAAAATAACAGCTAACATGTTTTTATATTCCTAGATAGATTTATTCGTATTAACTTTAATCTTCTAATAATAAAACTGTTATTGACTACGTAAATGGAGAGAAAAAAAGGTGTCATTAAATGGGTCCATTCTTTTATAAGTCTGTTAGTGTATATATATTATCACTACAGCATGCTGACCCGAGAGACTGCGCTGGGGAACGGATCACCAGAAAAGAGATATGTAAAACAGCAATAAGAGGTGATTAAAGTATGTACTAAATTTTATATATGCTCTAGCCATATTTTGCTAAAAACTGTGTGACTCAACAAGAACTTTCAAATGTGCAAAGATAATATATTTGGTATGTGTGCATTTTTTTTTATTTCTGTCAAAATGAAGTACAGAATTTGGTATTAATGTCACGTTTTATTACTTTGTCGGTTGGAAATAAAAACATTATACTGAAGTGTCTATCAAATAAAACCTATGGATCTGCAAGCTCAAATCCTATGTAAAAGGAGACGAATTTGAATTTGTACGCTTATACTTTTAAATGTAAATGTTAACCAAATGATTAAAAGAAACAAAGACTCGATTTAGTAATATTTTAAACATGACTTTATGGTTTCTTTAACATACATGTATATTGATGCGGAACATACCTGGCCTTGAAGAATTTTCTCTAGTTTCTCTTTAAGTTTTGTCCTGAACGTTTTCAACACAAATTGATTGGGAATTTCCAAAATAAGAGCAGAGTTCCACATCTAAAAAGCAGGAAACATACATTTGTAAACAAATATGTCGATCATGTTAAAATTGTGTGTTATTTATGTCACTTATAGGCATATTTTATGAAGTGTGCTACCGCTTAATAAAAATAAAATAATATTATTTGCTAATCTGTGTGAATGAAACATTCAAAACTCACAAAACTCCCCATGTCTACATTTGTTTAATAGCAACAAAAACACACTCAATGTTTGAATATCTCGCTTCCCTACTATTATCTTTGTATACTCTTTGTGACGTTACTTTTGGTAGTTTTCTACACCCAACTTCACAAACATAGCATTATCATATATTTCATAGTTGTGATAGTAGATTTTTTTGTTTGTTTGTTGCTCATTTCGCCACGCGCGCGACTGTTTTAGTAGATCAGCATAGCAAATGTACTTATATATTTATAAGTGAGGTTTTTTTTATTTTCCTTGAAATCAGTTTTTATCCACAAGAAAAAAATCTGATCGTCTGATTTTGGGGACAGTTGTTCGATCATTAAATTTTCTTTCAGTTGAACCAAAGGTGATACATTTCGAAAGTTAAAACATTAGTATGATACATAATAATTTCTTATTGTATTACTCTGTTACAAAGATTCATTACTTACTGTGATGTCATGTGAAGTTTCAAATTTGAATTGATCCATCCAATTTACAACGACATTTAGACCCCTTTCAAAAAAACTTTTGTTTTCCTGATGAAAACTCGTATTTTGTGGGTAAGCTTTTCTTGATGAGAAGTTCTCAAGCACAGCGATTTCTAACAGGAGGAGTTTTGCGACCTCGAACGTAAATCCTCGAACATAAATATGACATCTGAATCTATCAAGTAGTTTCCGCAGTAGGTCGAAAGTTATCTTGGCAATCAACATCATGCGTGGTTTATCATTTTCCGTACTGAAACACAAATGGTATTTGTTAGCTCACCTAGGCCAAACACCTAAGAGAGTTTTTCTGATAACATTCTGTCCATCTGTTTGTCTGTAAACTTGACACATTTTCGACTTCTACTCAAGAACAACTGAGCTATATTCATGAAATATGCACAAAGTATCCTTGTATGAAGTAAATTTAGCTTTGTTCGACTTAAAAGCTGTGCCTCCTTCCAACTGGAGATTGCTATTGAGTGAGTATTTTTTAATTCTTCTCAAGAACCCATAGAACCATGAAAGGTGAAATTTATGTGGATACATTCTCAGATAGAGAGGATTCAAGTTTGTTCAAATTATGCCCCCCCCTCCCCCGAAATAGGTCGAGACATGTCATTTTCTCGGGTATATTAGATTCAAGTTTAATAATAATAATTATAATAATAATACTTTATTTAAAGAGGGTAACCCGATTAGTGCAGTGCACTAGTCTTCCTCGGGGCCCTCTAAACACATTCACAATAATACAATTATAAAAACATCGTACAATATTATAATAAATAATACAACGTGACGTGAAAATACAAGTACATATACAGATCGATTCAAGAACATGAAATTATATAACTTTTAGTTTCGACATGTTATAATGAATTTTTCTACATTTTTACGAAAAGTTTGTACAGTTGGTGAGAAACGGATATGCAAAGGTAATTTGTTCCATAAATGAACACCGGAATAATGAAAAGAATTTTTAAATTGATTTGTTCAGATCTTGACCCCTGAACCAGGGGTCGGAATACAATTGACAAAGTTTCACATGATTACATGTTTATATAGGAAAATATTCTGAAGAACAGCAGAGCCATGCGTGGGCAGTATTTATTAATTTTATTGATTGATTAATTAATTATATACTGTTTAACGTTTCTCTCGAGAATTTTTCACTCATATGGAGAGGCGAACACTTGCCGGTGGAGAGCTACAAATTTTGTCCTATTCTCTGCAATCGAGACCATTTAGCAGTGAAGGGTCTTTTACGTGCAAGCACCTACTGCAACACGGGACTTAGGTTTATACGGTCTCATCCGAAGGATCGGTCTCCACATCCCACTGTTGAATTCGAAAACGCGACTTAAGGATCGACTCCTTACTTTGCGACTCTAGAGCAGACAATCTAACCACTGTACCACATGGGCGACTTTATTTATTCCAAGGTTCAAGTTTGTTCATATCATAACCTCCTGGAAGGGGGGGGGGGTTCCAATGGAGAATCAAAGTTTCGTGTAGAAATTAAAATAAAGAATATCTTTTGGATTCTTCTCAAGAACGGCAAAGTCATGATTAGTGAAATTGATATGGAAGCGTCCTCAGACTACAATTGACAATCAAAGTTTTACATTAGTACGTGTATATTTATGTAAAATCTTTTTAAAACCCTTTTCTGAAGAACAGCAAAGCCATGAGTGGACAGGGTTAGGGTTAATCAAAGGAATGTGTAAGCATCCGTAGTATTTGTCCAAATCATACACCCAACCCTAAACCACCTTTTACGTTAGGTAGGGATCACTAATGCATTTAACCTTTTCAGTACTGAACTGATGTTTGCATTTTTCATCGACATAGTGTTCAGTGCTCCAGGTATTTCATCAAATGTTTTTGAACTTGTTAAAAGAGTCAAAGTTCTGCTTAACATAATTCTATTATAATATGTTTATTACAGATATTCTAGCTAATAAACATTTTTTACACATATCATCCAAAATTCAACTTAATGATATTTCTGATAACAAAGAGTTTTATATTTCAATTAATAAATATTAATATCCTTTTGCCCTACAATTACGTCTAACACATAAATCAAGTTTTCAAAGTTTTTCCTTTTATATTTTTCATCTTAAATAGTCACACTAAAAATTGTGACAACAAAAATAGTTTCAAATGATTGCGCAGTCTTCTGTAGATGAAAATTGTTATTTTCCTGATACTAAAAAAAGCAATAAAATTCTTTGAAAGTAATGTCATTTTTCTGGATGAAAGCCGATTGATTAAAATTATTTTATATATTCAGAAAATGAAATAAAATATCGGGGTCTGTGATGTAAATTTTTAAATATTGCTAAAATAGTGGTAATTTTAAGCTTAAATTGGGCTATCATAATTTTTGACAGAACGTGGGTTTAGAAAGATTTTTTTTAATACATGTTTTCTTAAGCTGTAGGTTTAAACTTTAATTGTAGTCCAACCCAAGCCCGAGGGGTTAATGATTTGAAGAAACTGGATTCTACAATACCTTGTTTAAGAAATAAAGTCCGCGTTTTCGTGAATGTTGCAGAATAACCTCCGAGGTCGAGAAATGTTGTTTGAAAGATTAAAGCCGAGGCGTTAGCCGAGGCTTTTATATTCCAAACAACATTTCGAGACCGAGGAGGTTCAATCTAATTAAAATTAGATCTTTGATACACAAGTGTAGCGATCAAACTGGAGCGGATCAAAGATCTAATTTTAATTAGATTGGAGGAGGTTATTCTGCATCATTCACGACAGCAAAGACTTTATTTCTATTCTACCAAGATCGATAAATACGGCTGATCGATTCCTCTATAGAGAAACGAATTAGGTCACCGTGTCTCGATTACGCTGTTCCATTTAACACCAGAGGTAAAATTTGTTCCATCTGAGCTTTCGTTACATTAGAAATAGCCTTTTTTTAATTACAAATTTGTTCGTTATATGTATTAATCAGTTAAAACAAATATACAATAACAAAATCATGTTCCTGTTTTACTGCTAAAATCATGTTGTTTAATGTGTAGGGAGGTCCGTGGAATAGCCCCGCTTAGCTATAAAAACCGACTTCAACAGCAACTTTATGAAATTTACAGTGTTTATTTCTTACAAAGACGACACATCGATGCGGTCTAAACAAGTATTTCATTCTACAGCCAAACATGCGTTTGAATTGTTTTAATTTGATAAGTGTTTCTGATCCGATAATTTTTTGATGACGTTCGTGATATATTGGAGAATAATGTCTGGCGGTTTCCTTTGATGTTTTCAATAATCGTGGTAGAATTCCATATATAGTATACATGACCAATTGTGACTTTGATGTATTCCTATGTGAAAATAATCGTCCATTTTTGCAATACACTTTCCTCGCAGGTCATGATTGATTTAAAGAAATATAGATCTACACTTCCAGAGTATGCTTCCATATAAAAATGACGTATGTTTTTGTTTTTCTTGAGAAGTTTAACAAAAAAATTCTATACGTTCCCGTGTAAAACTTTGATCACCATTGTTGTACCATCCTACTCCGGAGGTCTTGATTAGAACAAAAAAGAACCTTCTCTACCAGAGGATGCTTCAATATAAATATGACCAATCATGACATTGTAACCTCTTTGCAATTGCTGAATGTGGCAGGTTTGGTAGAAATTGGTTCGGTGGCGCAAGAAAGGAAGTCCGAAAAAAAGATTACAGACGGACTCTGACCTTAGGCTCAGGTAATTTTTAAAAGTTTCTTAATGGATGGACTGTTTGGAGTGTGTACGAAGGTAACAATAAATTTTATCTTTGAAGCCAAATAAGAAGGAACTGTTCATATACAAATCAATATTTGTATTTTTCATAAAAATATATGTGAGACAAAATAAAACTCATGCTTCCTGAATCATTAAAATTACAAAGACTTCGATCATACATTTATTTTTTTTTAATGAACTGAGGAGAGTAGCGTATTATAAACCCTTGGTCAGCGAAGATGACAACGGCTGGATTTGCGAACCTAACGGTTGGCTGCAGAACTGGATCTGTCCGAAAACGGGAAAGCTGGAAAAATGTATTCCGGTATTTATTGTGTACAAAAGTACGCTGCTTCTCGGTTTCAAACTGTCATATTCTCAATTTATTTCTAACTGGTCCAAATACATTCCTTTACAATTTCTACTTACTATTTCCACAACAATTGTAAATAACCCTCCATGAAACTGAGACCATCCAATTTCGCATTTTTACTGTCATTTTGAAGATGACAAGATACAAATAGTTTCAATTGCAACACGCTTCGTGAAGAATTCCAGAGGTCATCATTTTCAGCTTTTGTGCAGTTGAGATAAGAATTTGGAGAATTAATCCAGTACCAACCGCAGCTTTTGTGCGCAAATTTTAACAGATTTTTGTTTGGGTGGCACTGTGGCACTCCGGTTGTCGATCTCATTTTTTCTCAGACCACCGAGTTATAGAAATGCAGCTACCTTACGGTTATAAAAAAAATGGGGGGGGGGGGG